TGTGGAGGAGGAGAAGGGAATAGGAGTTGTTTCAGCTGCTGAGAGTTCATTTTCTGTTGCGAGGGGAAGATGCGAGGAGTCTGTCGACCAGATCTTTTCAGCTTGCACTGTTTTGCGTGCGCTTCCAACTCGTGTATCTTTCGGTGGGAGTTCTCCACATGGAATTGGAAATTATTCACATACAGTTGGGAGTGCGTCACATGCTGTTGTGAGTTCATCTCATGCTGTTGGGAGTTCTGAACATGTAGTTGGGAATTCTGCACATTCGGTTGGGGGTTATTCACATGCTGGTGGGAGATCTTCACAGGTAGTTGGGAGTCGTTCGCATTTAGTTGGGAGTCCTTCTCAGGTACTTGGGAGCTCTTCACATCCAGTTGGGAGTCCTTCGCGTGCTGCTGGGGATTCCTCACAGGTTGTTGGGAGTTGTTCGCACGCAGGCGTCTCTGCTCGGACAAGCTCCACGAGCTCTGTGCGATGAGATTCCCCATCAGATATCGCAGGATATTGCTTTGCACGATGACGTTGGGGAGACGGTTGAAGAGACTGTGTTGTATGAGATTTCCGCATGGCATTTCGCAGTATATTGACGTTGAGGAGACTGTTTCAAATGATATTGCTTCGCGTGATTCTTGCGGCGATCTGATGGCAGGCGATGGCAAGTCGGGGCAGGATGCTGTCCTTGGGGGGCAAGACATCAGTTGAGTCGGAAAATTAGTTGAACGACAGTGCATCGCATTGCGTTTCCGAGTTGCCGTGGCCATCGCACACCATTGCTGAGGAAATGTCAGAGTCATCGTTGCCATCGTCTTCTCGCCAGTTTGCTAATCCCGCTTCTTCTCGTGATTCTCATGATCCAGAGAGCGATGGCTCATGCGAGGTTCGAGAAGGCGCCCCAAAGCGGACATATTCCGAGGACCTTGCAGCAAAAAGACAACAATCAGTCACATCGCACACCCCCGCATTTGCGCGGACCCCTGACCACCCATATCGACATCCCTGGTTTTATTGAGGAGTATCGGATGCTTCCAGCGTCTGGGCGCGAGCGTCGCGACTGGTTGGATGTGACTTCCGGCCGTCTTTATGCGGAGGTTATTGTTCACGCCACTCTTGACATGTTGCACGATGTGCTGCCGAACATCGCCACGTTTGATGAGCAGTCGGACATCGCTACCGACGTGGTGGAGGTCATGGATGCCCTTTATGATATTTTGGAATCTCATCTGGGGTGTGCTGCTGATGTTTAGCGCTGGTGTCATGACGTGCGATCCCACTACGTGGTGGGGTTACTCCAGGAGCACGTTCTACGATCGGGGGTAGTTGGTCGTTTCGCCTCGCATTTATCCTGGGCAGATTCATACTACGGCTTTTTCTCTTTCAGCATTCACATCTGCACAGGGCTCTATGCGATGACAGAGTCCCAGCCATACGTAGTCGTCACGTTGTCTCGTTTGTGATGGAGTTCTATTATATCGTCTCGGGTGTTTGTACGACGGTGTGCCTTGCCTACATGTGCGAGACCCCGCGTACGGACACGCCCTTGAGCGTTTGGTTGTTATGTTTGCTGGGGCGGCGGTGGACGGGATGCTCTGCGCTGGTCTCAGGAATGATAGGTCCGACGATCGACTGAACGGATTTTCCGCTGTTTTGGCTCGTATTGGAGGGCTGCCACCTGTTCATGGTTGTTTCGCTTGAATTCAGTCGTTGTGTCCTTCCTCTGGTATTTGTCTTGCCCTGGTGAGCTGAGTGGCGTTTCGCCGGAGGGGGGGGGGGGGGCCGACGTTGCTCCGACAGGCCGACTACCGCTGCCGCGCGTGGCCTTGTTTTCGCGATGAAAAAGACGAGTGCGATGTGAGTTCGTCTTCAAGGTCGGCGGAGTGCGGCGTCAAATCAAGTTTTCGAGAGGGGCCAGTGACGCGCCGCCGTCCAGCTTGGCTGGGCCTTCCATTTGCTCTCGCCAGTGGCCCTTATGAGGCGTGCCATGTTTTGTTCATTCATGCCTGTCCGACCTGGAGATTGGGTTCTAGGTTCGGTCTTCCGAGCCCTGTCAGCGCGGCGCACTGGAAGAATCCGAGGGCGTTGCAGCAGAGGCTCTTGGTCACTCAGAGCGCGCGCGCGATGGGCATCGCTGCAGGTCGCGGGCGCGACGGGCTGCTGCGCGCGCGAGCCCGAGCACGCAATGACACAATGCACATTGAAGGGGCCCTCAGCCCCGCTGGGGAAGTTCACGGGCGCGCGCTGCAGGCCCCGGGCGAATTGCTTGGTCGCGCGGCTGAAGCTGAAGAAAGGGGTCTCGCGACTGCCAGGGCCGCGCCCTTCGCTGCGCGGCTCCGCCGTCAGTTCAGCGCCCGATCGGGCCCCGCGCGCAGATGGGCCAAACCCAATGGGTGGCAGCTAGCAGGTGGACGTCAGCAAGGCCCCTCCAGCGTCCAAGGGGATGTCGTTGATGCCCAAAGGCCAGTTTGAAGAAGGTTTGGGAAAGAATCTGAGGATTGCTCAGATGTGACGGACAGCTTGCGCGGGAATGGCGATGTCAGGTTCTTGGGGGAGTTGACGGAGCTTCTGGGCAGCGGGCCTGGGTTGCCGCCGCTGGCAACTGGGTCGCCGAGGGAGGCTGCTAAGGGGTTCCCTGAACAAGCGGCAGCGGGGTCGGATGTATTTCGACCGAGGCATTGGGCGCTGCTATCGAAAGCTGGCTCGTCGCCGCTTGGCCGCTTGCTTTTTCTTTGCGAGAGGGGGGGGGGTCATGGCCGCAAATGATCTCCAGCGCGCGCGCGTCGCGCTGCTGGCTGGGGCCACGTGGCGGCTGCTGGTTCACTGGCCATGGGGGGAAGCGAGGATTCAGCGGGCAAGAGTTGTTGGGAGAAGGCTGCACCGGCTTTCTTGTAGCTCGTGGCGCGCAGCAGTCCACGACGGACGCGGCCGCCAGAGCCTTCGCGGATGCTGAATCGGCGACTAGTGGCAAGCCCGACGCGCCAGCTACCGCGCGCGCCATCGTCAATGTAGAGAAGGCCCTCTATAAAGTATGAAGGGGGCGTCTGGTGAAGGCTGGCCGCGTCATCCCTGCTGCGAGGCCCTTGATGGCAATGGATCCAGAAGTTGCTTGGCCGAGACTGGGCGTCAGGGGCAGCGCTCGCATTTCCTAGTGCGCATTAGCCCTGGGAGTGGTCTGATGGCGCCCCAAAAGCTTTTCTGGCTCTGGGCCCGCCCCTCAACTCGTTTGCGCTTTGGTTTTGGCTTGGGCGGTCGGGCATGGGTACGAGTGTGGCGCGCGGCGGTCTCGCGCGCGCGCCCCGCCCCCGCCCCCCCTCGCGCGATCCTGCCCTGCAGCTTCAAACAGGACCGCCGCCCGCGCCGCCTGACGTGGCCACCCCGAGATCCCCGGGTGTGTGCGTGTGCGTGTGCGTGCGCGTGTGCGTGAGTGCGCGCGCACGTGTGTGTGTGTGTGTGTGTGTTTGTGTGTGTGTCTGTGTGTGAGAGTCTGTGTGTCTGTGTGTGTGTGTGTGTGTCTGTGTTTGTGTTTGTGCCTGTGTGTGCGTGTCTGTGTGTGTGTGTCTGCATGTCTGTGTCACTGTGTCTGTGTGCGTCTGTCTGTATATGTCTGTGTCTGTCTGTGTCTGCCTGTGCCTGTGTGTGTGTGCCTGTGTGTGTCTCTGCGTGTGTGTGTGTGTGTCTGTGTGTGTGTCTGTGTGTGTGTGTGTCTGTGTGTGTGTCTGTGTGTGTGTGTCTGTGTTTGTGTCTGTGTGTGTGGCTGTGTGTGTGGCTGTGGCTGTGGCTGTGGCTGTGGTTGTGGGTGGGGGGAGGCTTTTCGTTTCGTTTCGGAGGAGGGTCGCCTTGGCCCCCTCATTCGTTGAGGTGTGCGTTCGCGCCCTCCCCGCGGTGTCTTCTCTGATCTTCCTGTCCTGGATCTCCCGTTCGTGGTAATGTTGTTTCGTTTTTTTATCGTCGTATCCGTAAGTGCTGTGGTCTTTATGCATGGTACAAAAGATCGGGCTGCTGTTCTCACGGTTATCCTAATAATTTGTTTGTCCAAGCGGGCCTTTCCTTATTTCATCGTTACGTTGGTGGAGACATATTTGAATGCATCGAATACGTCTGTTAGGTAACAGTCTGGCACGCTGAAGTACCGTCTCAGCTATGAGCAAGAAAATTCAGAATCCCTCAGGCATCGGTTATGATGCCCGCTCAGCAAGTTATGGCGGGCCTCCTCCCTTTTGTCTCTCCTCCGCATCCTCCTTTGTCATCCCTGCACTCTTCCTCCCTCTCATCTCCCTCCCCTCCTCCCTCTTCCCTTCTCCCTCGCGTTTCCCCTCCTATCTTTCTTTTCCTTCTATAGTCGTTCCCCCTGTCACGTCCTGGGGCGCGTTGTTAGGGTGGACTGGGCGCTTGGTATGAGAAAAGTGTAAAGGTTAGCAAGCAGCTTCAACTATGGAGGGCGGGTGGCTTTCAAAATGTGGCTCTCGCCGTTTTGCCGTACATGTTCGTCTTAAACGTCTTGCATGCGCTTCACGGATGGAGGGCGGGTGGGTTTCAAAATGTGGTTCTCGTCTCAGCGCCGCACGCACTTTTTTTTTCGCATGCGCTTCACGGATAGACTGCGGGTGGTTCTCAGCACGTGGTTGTCGCATGAACGCCGCGCAAATTTGTGTCGGAAATTTGCAAGTGCTTAACGTGTTCTTATGGCTTGCGTCCCAGAAGTGGTTCTACACACGGTCCAGGACTGTCAGGGCGCAGCCATCATGTCGATTTGCGGCGGTGAAGTCCTAGGAGTGGTGTTCGGGCGCGGCGCAAATTCGTTGGATCGCAACAGTAAGGCTGATTCACCGCGCCCAAGAAGTGGTGTTTCGACACGATTTGGGATCTTCCGACGGCCACCTTCCACCAGGGCACTTCCAGCTGTGATGGCACTGTCTTTGACTGGAATGAGGGCGGGTGGAAACTGCGAGAGTGGGAAGCGACCGCGGCCCATTTTTGCTCAAAGTTTTTGAGGCGTCGCACCTTGGATGGTGCTCCCAGACTATCTGAGCGACCTTCTCCAGTCGGGGGCGCGGGAGATAGGCCGCGGCGCGGTGGCCGGCGTGGTTGCCAGCTGGACCGCGAGTGGCGGTCAGTCAGAGCCCTGCCCGCTCCCGCCGCCCTGTCCGCCCGGTCCTGCCTGCCCCAACCTGACCTGCCCGGAGGTGACGTGCCCGGAGGCGGTCTGCCCGGTGTGCCCGACGCTGAGCTGCCCGGAGGGGCCGCCGTGGGCGCTGCTCGTCGCGGCCGTCGTGTTCAACGTGGTGGTGGCGGCGGTCGGCGGCTTCTGTGCTGGCGCACGACGCGGAGCCCGTCAGGATGTTGGTGGCAGCAGGATCAGGCGCCCTGCCCTCCGGGGTGGCGGCGTCTTTGAGAGGGCTGATGCCGGGCAGTAGGATCCTGGTGCGCTACGTGGACGCCGGCGAGGACCTCCTGCACGAGCGCGTGTGCCTGTGGCCGGTGAGCTTCGAGGAGTGGATCACGGAGTCCCCTGATGGCGACCAGATGCCTGAGTGTCTGTCAGGCCCTGACATCGAGGAGTTCATTGTGCTGGCGCCTGGTGGCGTTGTTCCTCGGCACGTGTCCTCGCCGAGGTACCGGTTCCGACGGGAGATCGGCGCCCGGGAGCTCCGCGAGAAGGTGATCGAGGCTCGGCACTTGGCGCGCCAGGCGCTCGCCGCTGGCGAGGTGCCGCTGCCCGCGCCGCTTCACACTCAGCAGTGGGACGGGCGCGTGCTGGCGCTGGAGGACTTCTGGCGGCTGGGAGGTGCTCCTGCCCGCCGCGGGCGGGGTAAGGCGCCGCCGATTGTGCTGGATGCGCCCGAGGACGAGGACGACGACAAGGGGGGCACCCAGACCCCTCCACCCCGAGAGGAGGGGGTCGCCGCCGAGGCGACCGCCACCGTGCAGGACGAGAAGGACTACCGCTGGGTCGTTGGCGAGCCGAACTCGTCGATCCCTCTCGGCACCGAGTTCACCGTCGCGACGATCCTTGCCGAGAAGGACGCCCGCAGGCTGGGGGATCGGATGCTGGTGAGCGTCGCCGCGACCCCTGCCGCGGGTCGGACCGCCGAGGACGCCGTGGTGCTCTACCGCCTCCACGTGGACGACGTGCCTGGCTTTGGGGCCAGGCGCTGGAAGGACATTGCCGCGCTTATGCCCCGCGACGGGCCTGCGGCACCTGAGCCTCCTCTGCCTGGCCCTGTGAGCGCGCCTCCTGAGCTGGACCTTGACGACGCCAGGACCCTGTCCGTGCAGTACGACGAGCAGGGCGAGAGGTTCCGCTCGTGGAAGGAGGCCGTCGCCAAGATGCACGAGAGTTTCTATGAGGACTGGCCCGTCGAGGGCCCGCGCACCATGCTTTGGATGGCGAAGAACATTGAGAGGACTGGAGGCTCCCCGATGCAGTGGTACCATAAGTACCTCGTCGAGAACCGCATCGCTGCTTCGGACCGCCTCGCGTACGAGCTCCAGGCGATGTGCCGCCTGCTGGAGCACGCCGGGTGCTACGATCAGCTCAACCTCGCGTCGCTGGCCGCGTTCGAGGTGCTGGCAAGGAGGATGCAGCTGCTGCTGGACGCGGCCAGTCGTGGCCCTGGAGAGGGGCGCTTTGAGGACGAGGAACTGTGGTCAGGCCATCAGCAGCGGACGGCGGGGATCGCCCCGGCCCTCACCGCTCACGTGGCTACCCGTACCGAAGAGAAAGCCGAGATCGAGAAGCAGCGCCAGAAGGCCCAGGAAGTGCGTGCAGCCACCGCCAACCCGAAGGCAAAGGCAGCCGCCAAGAAGGGGGCTGGAGGCGCGGCAGACGCTTAGCTGTGCGACGGCACTGGCAGGGGCCCCGCTGCTAGTCGCTTCTACCTCAGAGGGGCAGCGCTTACGGGCGCAGTGTTTCAGCTCAGGCTCGCGTTCGGCGCCTACTTGAGCTTCACCTTCTTTTTCAAGATGCAGCCTGAGGTCTTCCCTTTGCCGTCGTTGACAGAGGAGGGGCCTCGCCGTCCTGGTCTCAGCCGAGGCGTGTGTCAGCGAGTCGCTCGTCGTCAGGCCATCACTCGTCGTGCCAATGATGCCATCTCAACCCTGAACTGGCTGAGCGGGTGCGGTGGGGCGGCCCCCGAGGGGATATGCTCGCCGGCGCAGGCCGAGGCCGTCCAGCACATTAAGGGCGTGATGGAGCGCTCTCAGGCTGTTGATGCTGTTCCGCGTCCGCATGAAGCCGCACGCGCGCTTCTGCGTTCCCGAGCCGGATACGACTCGGATGAGCACATTGTGAGCGACTACCATGAAGAGCTGTTGTCGGTACCCGCGTCGTGCAAGGACTGCCCTTATGCGGTCGATGTGGTGCCAGCTGAGGCTGCATCAATGCTGGTAGATTTTGAAGAACGTATGGTCAGGCCTGACATCGAATTTTGGGAGCTGGAGGACAACTCGGAGCCGGTCACCCCCTACATGGACCGAAACTTGTCAGGGGATCGACAGGCCTACATCAAGTTTGTTCGTCGGCTGGAGTCAATTGGTGTGTTGCGGTGGTGCACCGCTGTCAAGGAGCGCGCCACCGTTTTCTGCGTGAAGAAAAAGTCGGGGATGCAGCGGCTAGTGGTCGACGCTCGCTGCAGCAACCGCCGCTTTCGCGACCCCCCCGGAGTGGAGCTGGCCACCGCCGAGTCGCTAGGGCTCATCGAGGTCGACGACGACACGGAGGTGTTCATCAGTACAGGCGACGTGCGGGACGCGTTCTACCGCTTCAAGATCGATGTGGAGCTCAGCCGCTACTTCGGGCTGCCGCCGCTGCGAGCGGAGGAGCTCCACCTCCACGAGGCTGAGGGGGAGTGGCTGTCACCAGACCGCTGGGTGCACCCCTGCTTCGCGGTGCTCCCCATGGGGTTCAAGTGGTCACTCTACCTTGTGCAGGAGGCGGTCACCAAGCAGGTGGAGGATGCCACGGGCGCAACCGCCGATCGGCGCCTGCAGACGTTTGGCGGCTCGCGCCTGATTACCTCAGGCGGGCAGCCTCTCCACTATGTCTACGTGGACAACGTGGGCTTTCCCTGTGGTACGTTCGCCCCTATTTTAAGGGTCACGATTTGTGATGGCGATGGCGACATCTATTTTAAGGGTCACAAGTCTGGCGCATGTTAAAACAACGACTTCTGACACGTTTTTCATCGTTTATGCGTTGTGGAACATGAAAGTTGCGCAACGCACTATATGGCTCATTTGTTGGTCACGCGGTGCAGTTCAGTCATTTGCGGGCGCGGCCCAGCTTGCTCACTGCAAGGCTTCAGCCAAAAAGGCAAACAATTGATGGTCGATGTCAACACCTCTCGGTGTTGAATAGTGTTTCGCCCACACGTTTGGTGGGGGGTGGGGGTGGAAAATCGGGGCTGAGCACCCTCGACTGTAGAAGGTTGTTTTTGTTCCACGGATTTCGTGATTGAAATCGTTGGCTCGAGCGATTTCGGTAAGGTGCGGTGGTTGCTGGGCACGTTGCCAGAACGAATTCTTTACGCTTCGCGTATCCCCACCAGCCCATCTCACAGCAACAACTCTTGCGAAGCATGCCGACAGTCGTGTTTTTCAGGCGTGTGTCCGCTTGGCCCCGCATGTCTCCCCTGTTCCTCCTTCCTCCCGCCTCCTTGTACATCCTCCTTGTGGGGGAGGCGGAGGAGGAGGGAGAGAAAACGCTCCTCGTGATTTGAGTCGTTTGGGGTTTCTCGTCCTGGTGTGAGTAGTTCGGGCCCTTTTTCCTGGTGTGAGTCGTTCGGGCCTCCTCCCCCTCGCATTCCTCCTTCTCCTTCTCCTCCCCTCCTCCTCATCCTCCTCCTCCTGCTGCTCCTCCTCCTCCTCTTTTTCTTCCTCGTCGTCGTCGTCGTCGTCCTCCTCCTCCTCCTCCTTCTCCTCCTCTCCTCCCCGTCCTCCTCCTCCTCCTCCTCCTCCTCCTCCTCCTCCTCCTGCACGACATGATATTAGCAAGGGCAACCTTACATGCACGATGTTTGTGAGGATGGTGATCGCTCGATCCAATCGGAAACGCCGATTTGCGAATCGGTGGCGGGGCTTGGTGATTCAGTGCTTAGAGTGCCGTTGACGCTGCGGGGCTCCTATGGGAATGACAAGGGTTGCAATGCCCCGATGTTGCCCCCAACCCCTAGCGTTTCCTCCTCGGCCTTCTGCCGCATAAGCTGGCGATCGAGGGGGTGGTGGTGGTGGTGGTGGTGGTGGTGGTGGTGGTGGTGGTGGTGGTGGTGGTGGTGGTGGTGGTGGTGGTGGTGGTGGTGGTGGTGGTGGTGGTGGTGGTGGTGGTGGTGGTGGTGGTGGTGGTGGTGGTGGTGGTGGTGGTGGTGGTGGTGGTGGTGGTGGTGGTGGTGGTGGTGGTGGTGGTGGTGGTGGTGGGTGGTGGTGGGTGGTGGTGGTGGTGGTGGGTGGTGGTGGGTGGTGGTGGGTGGTGGTGGTGGTGGTGGTGGTGTCGGTGGTGGTGGGATGGGGGGGAATGAACGGTCAGGGAAAGGCAACCCTTGCGCGTCCCCTGACAATCGGAGGCGAGGACAACGTACGCGGGCTCCTAACGAGCCAATTATCCCGCGCGCCACCTGCCCCCTCCATGGACAGCGCTCCTAAAGGTAGCACTGCAAGATGACTGGAAGGATGGGGTGGCGCGTGGGGTAATTGTGCCCGCGGAGCTTCCTCGCGAGAACTCTCGGAACCAGACCTGTTCAGCTCCCAGCTGTCATCCGATTCGGTATCCTCCAGGTATTGTTTTTTGTCGATCGTAAGCTCCTCCAACGCTAGACCCAACTCGGTTATCTTCTCTGGCGCTGCCGTCGTGGAGCCTGGGTTTCGACGAAGCTGGCCCATCAATGACCTCGCCATCGGACCCCCCGTTGGCCACCGGGTCCCAAGGAAGCTTAAGCCCCATCACCGAAATTGATCCCAGACCCTGCAGACGGAGCGAGAACATCTCCCCTCCCCGCCGCAGCGGGGAAGGGGGGGGGACGGAGGAGGGTGGAGGAGGAGGAGAAGGAAGAGGAGCAGGAGGAGGAGTGGAAATAAGAGGAGGGGGAGGCGGAGGAAGAGAAAAAGAAGGCAGGGAGGGAGGGAGGGGAGAACGAGGAGGAGGAGGAGGAGGAGGAGGAGGAGGAGGATCCCTGTTGCAGCTGAGCCTTTCCCGCTCAGCGAGGCGCCGAGAGCGCAGCAGTCGACTGGGCCAGCCTAAGGGAAACTGTCTGTGCAAGACGGTAGACAAATTATAGGAGGGCTTGATAATCCCCCTCTGAAAACATCGATATACCATTTAGAACTGCGATGGGAAGACGAATCGGGAGGGGGCTTCCCATGGAAATCCTGTGCTTCGGAAGCGTGGAACTTCTTCCTCTCATTGTCTAGACTCCTCATTCATCCCTTCGTCAATTTCGCATGCCTCGCTGCACCCCTCGGTTCTCATCCCTGTCATGCGTTCTCCTCCTTGTCCTCCATCATTCCATGTTCAGTTCTCTTCTTCACATGGCTGTAGATTGCTACTCTTTTCGATGTCCTCCATGCATTCCCTTGGATTTCCCCCCTCTAATATTAATTCGTTTTCCCATCGCAGTTCCCGACGTTCCATCGATGCTTCATGTGCACCGTTCGTCTGTCTCATGAGACGGGGGCGCCGCCAACGAGCCCAACGGGGCCGCAATCCGCCAGGAGGAATCACGAGCCACGGGCCACCGAACAACCGAGGTTTGCGGGAACCTATCTGTTGCGCAGGGGCGTGAGGGGGGGGAGCAAAGGGAGCATGTAATCCTCCTAAGTCTTCGAATCAGCAGCCCCCCGAAAACTTAACCCCCCTCTCGAGCCTCCCTCTCAATTCGACGACCAGGCGCGCGGCCTCCACGAGGCCGTTCAAACAGCAAACGAAACACTGGGCCTAGGTTGAAATTAGGGCCTGCACGAATTCCGCGATCCTCTCGCAGAATATCACTGGGTACACTTGTGATTCGTGCAGGCCCGCAGCGCCGATGATATAACCGCCAGAGTCAGCAGCGTAAAGAGGTCGCACGTGTGCGCCCGAATCCCTGATGGCGGTCCTCCCCTCGGGCTTGGTGAATTTAAAGAAGCGCTCAAACACCGTGATCGGACAGGTCACGTAAAACTCCAGCATTTTGAGGCTCGTGGCACCGAGAGGGGCAATACACGTTGAGACCCGCTGGCTGTTCAACAGAAGCAAAGTGTTTGCCATGACCGTCGTGCGAAACATGAGGGAGTTCAACGGCTGCTCAACCACAAAATATACATTGTGCAAGAATGCGAGGACGAGGAAGTACGACCTTAGCATGCACAGTCAAGCGTATAGTGATATGATTACCCTTCTCCTTTCGGCACATCTGAAATATAGCAAGGGCTTCCGATGGTGAATAACGTTAGTTTATCTGTCTGCTGAGGTTGCTGTTGATGCTGTTGCTTCTGCTGCTACCCTTCTGTCCCACCCGAGTTATTTAGTTTCCTGTCCTCCATCCTCCTCCTCCTCCTCATCATCCTCCGTCTCCTCCTCCTCCTCCTCCTCCATGCTCGCCCCTTACATCCCTCCCCGATCGGATTCAGGCTACCCCGTTCAAGGCCCCAGGTTCTTTCGAAGGGGAACGTCCACGCCGAGCCCGCTCTGCAGGCGCCCGCCCGCGGGCCGCCGAGGTAGCAATGGAGAGGAGAGAACCAGTGAGGGAGAGCACGAGCGAGCACGACATAGATTTTGATACTATGTGAGAGAACGGAACGGAATCGTACGTTCCCTATGTCCCTCCTCATCCTTCTCCTCATTATTTTCCGTTCTTTCGGCCCCCTTTCTTTCTCCTCTTCCTCCTCCTCCTCCTTATCCTCCTCCTCCTCCTCCTCCTCCTCCTCCTCCTCCTCCTCCTCCTCCTCCTCCTCCCCCTCCTCTTCCCTCATTATCCTCCTTATCCTCCTCCTCCTCCTCCCCTCCCTCCCCTTCGCGTGTATAGGAACGCATAGAATACCATGCGCACAACCATGCACAACTGTGATTGCACATGTGCGTGCGCACGTTGGACGCCGCAGCTAAGTGCCCGGCGTAATGTCAACGCACTGGTCGGCCCTTTCGGCCACGACAGAAGCCCCATCAGACAAGTTCTCCCCAGCGCGGAAGCCGTTGTCGCAGAGCCTTTTGTAAGTGCCACGAGACATGAATTGCAACCACGTGCGGCATTCAGGCGAACACCAGAGAACCCCTTTTCTCCGTGACCGATTTGATGCACCATGCAGTGTAGAAGCACCCCTGGATACAAGAGATGTCTTGGTGGGCCTCATTCGCGTAATCGATCATTGCAGCTCTCATCCCTTGCTTCACTGTCGCTCGAGCGCCCCCACCCTGCCCAGCGAATAGCATTACAAGATGCAGCGTGCGATCAGGGGCAATAGACTCCCAATATTCGCGGGTGAGCGTCAGAAGGCTCATGGTCGAGAGTGGTTGCTCCAATCCATGCCTCGCCATCGCCTCCGACGCGGCTTGCATGACATGGGGCGGCACGCTAGAAATCAAGTTCGTTACCATCTGGGATGAGGGCTCTGTCATCGTATTCGTCGTCACCTGCGTGGATGACACTGAGCCCCAAATAGCCTATGAGATTGAAGCCCTCCAAAACACGCAGATGAAACACTTGAGGTTTTGCATGCTCCGCGATAGTCCTCAGCACTCGGTTCAGAGACTCATCCCGCCAGCATGCGTAGTACGCGGGGCAACCCAGATAGTGGATCCTGTCAGATGAATGGGGGCCTACCTGAGTCTGGCCGTTTCCCACGGAAACGGCACGTATACAGTGTGTAGTTGGTGTGTGCGTGTTGTTACATGTTTATATGTGTGCATCGCTCGTTATGTAAGTACATTCGCATTTTGTGCGTGCGGTCGTGGTTGTCCGTGCGGTGTTTGTGATAGCTTAACCAGTCTAGCGCATGCGCTAATGTTTGATCATACGTGCTTCCAGATGTGCTTTGGTGCTCGTGGCAGTAAGTGCTCATATATCTGCAGGCCGCGCGGTCGCCCAATCTGGGGGGGGAGAGCTTCGAGGTCCTGGAATCGCGTGAGGGGTGTACCAGTACACGGCGGTTCTTATGCAGATGGGGCTTGGGCAACGCATGAGGGGCATGCCAACTTGAGGCTCCGTTGCCATGCGGGACAGCCATGTGCTGAAATGGGCCCCCTATGATCACGCCCTCGGGCCGCGTGAGGGGCGTGCCGAA